ACACTTTCACATGTTATATATTGGTCCTCTTATGTCCTTTTTTCTGGAAGTTCATTTATTGATTGCTTCATACTCATTTCTCAAGCACTTCATTGGGAGTTTCACTTCTACTTTTGACTTTTCAAGTTAAATCTTTTAGTCTAAATATGTTTTGCTCATTTGGCTTCCACTTCGGCCACTATCATATGGCACCCTCTCAACTCCACTTTGGGGCTTAAGGATTTATGTCTCACAAAGGGATGCATTACTTGGAGGTGGTGAATGGAAAAATTAAAAAAAATATTCATTATTTGGTTTATAACTAGAATGGATTATGAGTTCCCAAAAACAGCCAATTATATAATCTTTATTATAGTATAAAAGAAAAGATAGTTAATTATTAATGATAACAGATTATCAATGTTTGGAATGGGATAGAAGCCACTTCCAAATGCCTTTTTCCTACAAGGCTCACCCAACCACTAGAATTATTAACTTTGTTGCTAGTTTAAACTATTATATTAACATTTTCTACTATAACTTTGGAAAATAATTTTGAAACTTTACATGTGGCTAAATACCCTTTGGATGAATAAACTATATGTTAAGTTGAACTATGGTATCATGTAAATGAATAAAAGTGGACTATCTTGGGTATGTTTTTAGCAATTGTATTTGAGAGTTTGTTTTTCATGCATCCAAGTTGGTTGTAAATTACTATTGGTGATATCTACTCAAGCTTAATCCTACGCCAGTTGAAAGTTTACTTTTGATGCTTCTAAATTGGTTGTGAATTTCATTTATCTAAACCTAGTCCTACACCATTTCAATTGCCACTTAGTGTTCAGTATTTATTCATTTAACATTTTTCCTACACCACTTCAGTTGCCACTCAGTGCTCGGTATTAAAGAGGGGATGATATCATGTATTCACTATTTATTTGTATTTATAAATAGTATATTCACCATCCCAAGATTGGAAAAGAAGCCTTATCTTTAAACCCTTTCAGTCACATTTTTTGTGTTTTATTTTTCTTTACTCTTTTTGTTTTTCAAATTTATTCTTTAGATCATTATTATTATGGAGATAACTAAGATACCTTGCAATATTTTGATTCCCAAAATGATAGCATATAAGCTATTTTTTCTCTTCTTTATCTTCTTTGGCATTCATGATTGATAATAGACTCCTCTTTTGTAGTAGCATCCTCCTTTTTTCTATAAAGTAACAATTATTATAATTATTTAATGCTATGTACCCAATTGATAGTTGATTTAACTTTTTTTGGTCCTATTACCAAACCTCTCATTTAGTAAATTTTTTGATAGGAATCCCAAGACATGCATACAAATGCAAATGCTTCTCAAAGACTGTTAAAGGTGTCCCTCATCTCCATCAATATAGGAATACAAAAATATACATACTTATATTAGTTTAAAACCTTTAATTATGGGATGAGATTCGAATATACTATTATCATTGATCTTTGATACATTAGAGGAAAATGAGGATAAAATAACCACTTAAAGTTGTTTCATCAATCAATTGCCCCTTTTCTAGTTGGCTTAAGAAGAAAAAAATAAAGTGCATTATACACTATATATAGTATTAGAGAAAATAACATGGGTTTGATTCCCATTTATTAATAGCTACTTAAAATATAATATAACATTAAGCAAGGTATATTTCTACCTCTAAAATTGAAATTATATATATTGATACATCCACTAAAAGCAACTGCCACTATTTCGGTTAACTACAAGATAATATATGTTACACTTTTTGTGTAAACTCTTTAAATTTGTCCAATTTAAAATTAAGGGCTTAACTATAGTCAATTAATCTAATAGGTTGGACCATAAAAATCTAAAAACCTAATCTCTATATAGGTTCATGCCCATCTATTTGTATAGTAGCTCTTAAGTTCCAGGTTTAATTCATATCATAGCCAATAGTAGTGAATACACTCTCTATAAATATATAAAAAATAATGAATACATGACGTCAACCCCCTTTTAATATTGAGCATTGAAAAGCAATTTACCCATAACCAAAGGTTTGAGGTGTACTTCATGCTATATATATATATAGTATAAGGAAATATAAAGAATATTTTAGGATTCTATTTCAAATCTACTACATATATGAATGGGCATCTATGTAAGTAACTAAAGAAAAAAAATTGGGAAATGGTCTAAAATATATAGATATATATCCATAAATATATAAATATATAAAATTTAACCTATGAACAAAAATTATCTTTAAATATTTTTAAAATAATAAAATGGCTATAATTCTCTAAATAAATGGACTAGATAAATCAATGGATAATATTTTTTCTTAATATGATAGCTCTATATTAATTATTATTAATTATAATTTTATTATATAAAACTCTAATAATTATATTATTTAAAAAACTAAAAATAATTATATCCACATCCATTTATATAGAGTTAAATATAGTCAATTATATCTATAAGTTTGATATATTTTAAAATATTTTTAACATAATAATAATTATTAGCACCTTAAGGAATGAAATAATAGCCTGATATCAATCTAAATCATTGAAATTGGAATGTAGACCATTAATAAGAGTGTATACTTAGATTAATATTGACTCCTTCAGTAATGGGAGACTTGCCATCTAGCAGGATCAGCTATGAAGCTCACAACAATCCAAGATGCATGCAATCATGAATGCTTGAGTGAGCTTGTAAAACACAAGGCATGTGAGTGAAGAAAAAACAAAGAGCAAGGAAGAACCTATACATTCCCAAGTGATCAGAAGAGTGAATCTATGTCTGGCTGAAGGATGAAGCTAAAGAACGAAGACTACTAAAGCTGAGGACAAGGTGCTCTAACTACCTGGGATTCTAATATTTATGATCAACATTTTAAGCAGAAGTATCAGGTTTTTCTTAATGATTTTTAACCTAACCTTGGCATTTTTTTTATGTTTGAAATTCTTTACACTGCTATGTGAGTGGTTGCACTGGACCTTGAGTTGTATAATCTGCGGCAACCATTTCCTAAGTTAGATTGGTACTTGCACATCTTCTTGTCATACATCTTCTTGTCATATGTTTGTTATCCTCCTCCCAGGTTTTGACAACGATGATGAAGGATCTGGAGCACCATAAGAAAGTTTGGAATCCATGAAAAATTGACGAATGGAGGGGTAGAATGCACAATTCAGAACCCCCCTTTATTTAGGGTGGGCCTCATTTGCTTATTTGGATTTGCATGCCACCTAGGGATGACACTTCATTACTATAAATTAAATATTGTTCTAGTATATTATTAGTTCTCACAATAAGATCAGAAAAAGTAAGAATACTATCTTGACATGATTTATATATTTCAATCTAGCCATAATAATAAAGAGAATGATAAAAATAAAAAAGAAAATATAAGAAGGGAGGAAAAACCTAAACCAAGCCATACACATCCTTAGTTGGGACCACAAACCTCAATGACTCCAGGATCTTTGGCAACTTCTAAAACATCCACACAAATTAATAACTTCGAAGATGAAGCTAGTGCAGGAGTAAGACTGCGGAAGTGATCCTTGAGCGAGCCAATGTGATCAAACTGTGAGGCTTCCGCAGCCAACCTGATGCTAGGGGTGCACCAAGCCATACAAGCCATGAACCCCGACTTCCAGAAGCATCACAGCCTCTAGAAGTCATGAAGCAAAGATTCTGTAGTGCTAAAACTGCAATGTTTATGAGTTGAACCACCATTAAACTATCTTTCACAAGACTTTGCTATCTTACTGTTTTTTATTAATTTAAACATTAGTGATAAAAAACGTGAGAGAAAAGTTTAAGAACAGAAAATCACAACCGTTGGATTGAAAAATATTCTAAAATATACTTATGATCTTCATTTGACGTGTTTAACATCTAGGCCTATGCACGTTTTAGAGCTCTAGTTCTAGAATTCTCTTACTATTGCTCTATTCAGAGGAAAGGTCACCACTACTGGAAAGCTGTATTAAGGTCTTGGCTTTATTTCAATACTCCCTGATTGATTAATCGATAACTTTATCTGTGTACTATCCTCTATTCAGTACCATTCCAAACTAGTAAATTGATTTCTATTTATTCCTTAGTTTATCTAAAGTTTTTGACAGAAGCAATAGCATTTGTCAATGTCATACACCATCATGACACTACTACCAGGACCACAGAAGTACATGAGAACATACAGCCCACCTTCGGCAAGCACAATCCTGGGACTTGTAACCTGGACGTGCAATGGATTATACATTACACGCCTTCCACGTTAAGAGAATACCCTTTGTCCTCGATTGGCAACTCCCCTTTGGACAAGAAAAGGTAGACGATCCGAGACCCAGCCATGACGTGCCAGGCTTCACATCAGGCTCGTCAAGCATGACAAAGAGCTTGGTCAACGGGTTGACTTTGATGCGGGAATCATAGGAGACGAACTCAAGAGGTGTGACCGTAGCTATCATATTCTTCGCCCACTGGAAAGGGCTAATCCTGCGCCTTCATATGCTTAAGAATAATTGGCCTCGAATCCTATAAAGGCAATTATAGGATTGCCTTTAATTGCCTTTAAACAGGCTGTTTCTCTGGTGCCCTAGAACAGTTTGACCCTTTGTTGTTTGTAAGATCTAAATAGACGGCTGTGATGAGCGTAGAGATGTCTCACGGTTGCGATGATCGCCGCCAGAAAATTGTGCCGTTGGAGCTTTTGTATACATCCGCTGTGAAGAGCCCTAAAATCACTCTCGAAGCGACTCAAAGCAAGTGATTGTCCAGCGATCTCGGGAAGACGCAAAGCGATTCATCGGCCAGTGTTTCGATTGGTTTGATTGCGTGCATTCTTGTAGAGCTTAGATCTCTCCTCTCTCGTCGGTAGGGTTTGTTGTGTTCTGTTTTGCAGGAAAATGGCCGCCCTGATCAGCTCCAACGGCGGCAAAGATCCGGCTGCAACGCCCGCAAAGAAGCTGCCACAGATCGATCGATTCATTCCGGATCGCAGCGCCATGAATTTCGACGTCGCCAACATGCTTGTTCTTGGAAAGGAGAATTCGCAGCTCCAGCAGCAGCCGCTTCGATCCGACTGCTCCCAGGAAGAGTACAAGAAGCAACTGGCCGAGAATCTCTTGCGCGACGCCAATATTTTCCAGAAGAAGAGCCGGATCCTCGCCTTCAAGAGCAAGCCGCCGCCGCCACCAGAGGGGTTTGAGAGAGAATCGAGGCTGCTCTACTCCGAGAACACTGCTCCAGGCGCGTCCAAGCCCCGGAGGATGTTTAGACAGATCCCTCAGGTAAGCTTCCATCGATTTCTTTGTTCGATCGTTTCTTTTTTTCCGCTGATCCAATTACCCTTTCCAGGCTCCCGAGAGAACTCTCGATGCGCCAGAGATTCTAGACGACTATTATCTCAACCTTTTGGACTGGGGAACGAACAACATACTCGCTGTTGCTTTGGGACACACTGTCTATCTCTGGAACGCTACCACCGGTGGTATCGAAGAGCTCATGCAAGTAAGCGAGGATGATGGTCCCGTCACCAGCGTTTCCTGGGCGCCGGATGGCAAGCACATCTCGGTCGGGTTAAACAATGCGGACGTTCAACTCTGGGATGCGTTTTCTCTACGCCAGGTACTTTTCGTTGCTCGTTTCCTGTAGATCTTTGCCTTCTTTACTTGCGTGTGATTGATTCACGTATAGAGTGGAAGCATTTGTACTCACCAAACGGTTTGTTCATGCAGGTGAGATCTCTCAAGGCTCATACCGCCCGAGTTGGAAGTCTTGCTTGGAACGGACCCATCCTCAGCACCGGCGGTCGCGACAACGTCATCTTCAACCACGACGTGAGGATTCGCGAGCATGTCACTGGCAAGATGGCGGCACACCAGCAGGAGGTTTGCGGTCTTAAGTGGTCACCCTCCGGACAGCAGCTAGCGAGCGGTGGCAACGACAACCTTCTCTACGTCTGGGATGCCGCCGCGGCCGCCTCACGAGGAAACAGCACTTATCTCCACCGTCTCGACGAGCATCAGGCAGCGGTGAAAGCGCTGGCGTGGTGTCCCTTCCAGAGCAATCTCTTGGCTTCCGGAGGAGGTACCGCGGACCGGTGCATCAAGTTCTGGAACACGCACACTGGAGCTTGCATCCAAAGCGTGGACACGGCCTCTCAGGTGTGCGCATTGCAGTGGAGCAAGCACGAGAGGGAGCTTCTGAGCTCTCACGGCTTCAGCCAGAACCAGCTCATTCTCTGGAAGTACCCGTCGATGGTGAAGATGGCGGAGCTGACCGGGCACACCTCGAGGGTCCTGCATATGGCACAGGTCTGCTCCCTAGTTTTTCTTTCTTTCTTAGGAAAGTGCTTGAGACATACCTTTGTATTTGCAGAGTCCCGATGGTTATACTGTGGCATCGGCCGCTGGCGACGAGACTTTGCGCTTCTGGCAGGTGTTCGGGACACCCGACACAACAAAGGCAACAGCAGTCAGGACGAAAGCCTCATCCAGTGCGCTAAACAGCCGCTGCATTCGGTAACTCTTGATTGATTTCTTTTTTCTTTTTAGTTTTTGTGCATGCGGTCCATGCTCTGGCGCGGTAAGGCCCAGATCATGGGCCAAAATAAAGCGGCGCTGGCCGCCGGGTACTAACAGCCGTGTGCAAGTGTTTGCTTTGCAGGTTGAAGGAGTTCCACCCTCCCAGGCCCCCCCCACAATCACAGGTCCCAAGTTTTCGTTCAGAGCTCTTTTTTACTTTCTTTGAGTTTCATCCTGTTAAGATCTTGTCTTGCCTCTTGGCAGGGATGGCTATGGCAATTCTGGAAAAAGTGCTCGTCGATCCTGGTAGCTCGCTTTCGAAGAAGGAGATTCACGGGGAGAATTCTCACAGATACGCTCCCTCCAACAAAAGCTCAAGAAGGAAAGAAGGACGCGATCAAGGGCGAAGTGTTTAACACTCTGAGAAATACTCGCTTTGAAAAGAAAATAATTTGTTTTCTTTCATACATTTTGTCCTTTTCATTGAATTTCAAAGCACGTAAAACTTTCACTTTTTAATTTTTCGTTCGCCATGTCCATAGTGCTTGTATAGCTCATTGATGCCTGTTTTCCATCCGGCGCTATAAACATATGCTCTGGAGACGTCGAGGGATTAGTCACGAGCATTCTGTGGTTATCTCCGGTGAGCCAATTGAAGAGAAACTGTGCACAGCCAGTGAGCAATGGATATGCCTTGCTGCGAAGACACTCCTGAAGCAAATAGAGCCAAGCTAATAGTTCTACAAATCCAAGACGAAAATGAAAAGTTTAAAAATTGCAACCTTGTCCAGAGAGAATCAATAGTGCTCCCATAAATGGAAGCATTCCTGCTGCATCTTCAAACAAAGCTCTACCCATGGGAAAGAGAGCATAGATAGGATCACCACCAATTGGTGCTGTTTGCACCCATATATCTCAGTGACCGCACCAGGTTTACCCTCATTGTGGATGCTGCGTTCAAGGATACTGTCAACTTGAAGCAACTCTTCCAAGTAAGTGCCCTTCCTCTTCCTTTTCTTCTTCTTTTGGTTTTGGTTTGTTTGTTGCCAGTGCTGGCTGACTTGATGATTCTAATGCAAGATCCGTGTGTAGGTCGCTTGTTCTATAGAGCCAAGCTACAGCCCTTTGATTGGAGACGTGGTGAACTCTCTGATCGTGTTGGTGGTGCTTTGAGGGCGATTGATCCGGCAGGAGCCACTAGCGTGTAAAACACAGGATGCATGCGTCATTCAAATAACGAATGTTCTGAAATAAATTCAGGTTAGGGCTTCCGTCTTTCACAAGATCGTCACCGTCGATCAAACGCGATTCCAGCCGTCGATTTGTACCCGTTAGCGAGAAGCTGTGTCAAAAAATTGGCGAGCGATGGTGGCGTGCGAGTTTGGGGAGGACGACTGTGGTGAGCTCCTCAAGCTGTACAGGCGGGGCGAGAAGTTGGGATCTGGCAGCGAAGGGCAGGTCTATTTGTTGAGTGCTCGTCGTAGGGCTGGCAAGAAGTATGCGGGAAATTGATTGAATCGATGTGGAATGCCGAGAATGAAGCTCGGCTCATGTCCAAGCTTCACGTCTGCCCTATAGTCGTCGCCTTTGAGGATTTTGTGAGGGAGAGAGAGGCCGGGAGGTGCTATGGGACCATCATGGTGGAGCTTTGCAGCCCTAGTTTGGCAGAGTGATTGATCGAGGGTGGGGTAGTGACTGAGGAAGAAGCAGCCAAGACTATTAAATCACTAGCAGAGACACTCAAGTGGATGCACTCGAGAGGGGTTGTTGACCGCGATCTCAAGCCTCACAACATTTTTGAGAGGCTCAACGCCACTGCAGTGGATGAAGTGGTGATTGGAGATTTTGGCATGGCCACGGACAAGCAGTGGGATATGCAGCAGTATTGTGGAACAGCAAAGTACATGGCACCCGAGGTGGTAATGGTGAAGAGTAATGGAGCCCAAGGATGAGTGAATTACATGGTGGCCGTGGATGTGTGGGGGCTGGGAGTCGTTGCGTATGAGCTGCTGAGAGGGTATCAATCGAGAGTTGAACTTGATTTTCTAAGAGCCAGAGCATTCCCGAGTGGTTTTGCGTCTTGTGAAGCAGAGGATCTCATCCAGGGAATGCTAGCTGTGGAGCAGAGCAAGAGGGTGACTCTAGATGCCATGCTTGCACATCCTTGGATTGTTAAGCATTGTGGTAATGGGACAACGATGGCACACAGGAGGAGTCATTATGGAGTGAAGAGAAGATATTCTGGCATTGGTGGGGACTTTGATTGCGAAAAATATTCTCATGCTTTTTTATTTTACCATTTAATGGTTGATATGCAATAAAATTAATCTTGTATTTAAACATGCTTATAATTATAATAACTTTATTTGATCAATTGGATTAACAAGTAGAAATAACACTACTATTAAGCAAACCAACCGTTGCTACTTGCAACACATAGCAAATTATTAGTACAGTTTTTTAAATATGCTATGAATATTCTTTTTTAATAAATTAATATTCAAAAAAATTTCCTCATTATAACTATATATTAAATAATGTAATTACTACAACTATACTTTATATAGTAACTATAAACTATGATATAAATAGCACTTGCTTCCTATTAGTAAATACTATTTTGAATGTCATAGTTATAATACAAACTTCTCAAGACCATTTTTGGAACTGGAATTAGAGTATTTTAGAATTTCTTTTAGAAAACATGGAGCAAGAATCAAACTCAACAAGAAATTAGTGGAGGTAAAAATATTTAATATAAAACCTCCTTATATAGTATGTTGATGGTGAAAGTAAAAGGACTCAAAGGGAATAATTACCCTTGGAGTGACTTTACTACCTAGTCTTATTCGTGAAGTGCATCTTGATAAAGCCACATAAAGCTGGCTATGGGTGAAAATTGGATATGGTTAAATGTATTCTAACTTGCTCAAATGTTTGGCCTTGACACTGGCAATGCCCTAAACACATTAGAAATTGCCTTCTGGACATTTTTAAATGAATTTTCTATGTTTGAAGGTGTGATTGTGATTTGAGGGATACAATATCATGTACTTTTGAATTAACCTAATATAATTTCATAGTCTAGAACTGTTGGTAATGCATATTTAAGTATGAGATATGTACCATGACATAGTCCAGCCAATGCATATATATTCCTTAATAGAATATGGATAACACCTTGTTTAAGCAAGAGTTTATATGGTGGAAGACCAAAAAATAATGGAATTTAGGAATTCAACTGGAAAATCTTCTGAGTGTTTAGCATCAACAAAATCAACACTTTTATGAATATATATATCACTAAGTAAAGAAGAAACCATAGCATTATTAATGGGAATATTATTATTATTAAGTGGGGTAAGTATGACTCTATTAGACAATATAGAGGTTTAAAATATCCTATAAAGATGAGAAAAAAAAATCAACAATAAAGGACATTATTATTTATGTGTAAAGTAATATAATAGATTCTAAAAACAATGTTGATAAATATAGAAGTAGAAGTTTCATATGAGGTGTGAAAGTCATGTGTGATGTTTAACTATTATATAGTAAAGTGCTTGCAATACTTGTTTAGGCTATATTAATTACATTTTTGTTTAAAAGTTAAAATGTATATATAAGAGTGTTAAGGAGAAAGTTTTACCAGTATCAGTAGGACCATCAATGAAAATATATAGATTTTTCTTGGTTGGGTTGTTAATTGTGTTGAGGATATCATAATATAGAACTTGTTGTTCATTATTAAATTGAAGTAATTTTTTTAAACATAATGATTAAATTGTGTCAAATTAATATAACTATTTGTATCAAAATTTATAAAAGATAAAGAAAATAAATACGTTTGATTGGATTTTCCATATAGACTGAATTTGCTATTTATATCATATAAAGCATGTTCAAAATAAAGTAATGCATCTGTTAACACAAAATATTTAGAAAAATAGTTTTTTAAATTTTCCCATAAGGAATAAGGATATTTTAGACTATAAAAGACACATTAAAACACAAATAATTTTTTAATTATAATGGCATTTTGAAAGAGTAAGCATCTTTTAAATATTTTTCCTATTTTGTATCATCTACAAAAAGACCCATAATGAATGTATTAAATTGGAATGTTTTGAAATAAGTATTATAAATTATTTTAAATCATTAACAAAAGTAGCCCCTCTTCTGTGAAGCATTATAAAGCATAAATGATAAAGTTGAATATTAAATGGGGACACATAATACATTTGTGAGATAATATTTTGTCGATGTTTAATCTGCCAATGATGAGTGTGTTTATTATATGTATAATATAAAGGAATTCAGGATATGTATATTATCTTGCAATTGGATTATATATATTTAATTCAAACTATTTTGTCAACATAATACTATTTTGAGTAGCTCTTTAAAGTGAAATTTGCTCATTACCTTTGATAAAATAAATATTTTATATATTTTCTAGATAAATAAGAAAACAGATTATTAGTGTTGAACGGAGAAGCATTTTTAATTGAAAAAGTCTCCATATAGCTTTTGGAGCAGAAACATAATAAGTATTTGAAAACCTTGAAACTTCATCCCAATATAAACTATTATCATATTGTTGAGTTGCTGAATGAATTTCAATAATGACACAATCATACCATTTGGAAAAATATTGAGATAGATATTTAATACTTTTTATAGTTGTACATATCTTAATATTTATATAAGATTTATATTTTTACAAAGGTAATCCATATGACAACCATTTTTAAAAATTATATATCCATTGTCTGGTTTATAATAATTTAGATATGCATTAACAGAAAATATAGTTTCATAATTAAAGTTTTTTGGAAAACCTTTCAAGAATTATTAGGATAAAAGAGTCCATATGGTCCATGAATCAAATGCAATTTAACTATTTCAAAGAGTTAGAGTTTAAGGATCTAGTAATCCAGCCATGATATATTGATTAATTTTACCATGATGTCTAATTTTATTTTCATGGGCTAAAATTCCTAGAAAATGACAATATCAGAGACCTCCTTTTTGGAACTCAATTATATATATATATATATATATATATATATATATATATATATATATATATATAGACACACATACACTATACTATATATTTTCTAAATATATGTCTTTTTTGTTATGTCATTCAAAAATTCTTTAGTTTACCAAATTAGGACAGTCTTTTGGGCCCTCATTTGGATATAAATTTTCTATAATTTCTGGCCATTTATCATTGTAAGTGAAAGTAATAAAAATATCCAGTTTTGAGTAATGAACAACAATTGTCATTACATCTTGATAATTTTATTGCATTGCTCAGGTCCACCATCAAAATTTGAAGGTAGTATAACAATCTTACTAAGGTTCATATTTTCATTTGAAGCATGATTTGCACCATAATCCATAAGACCAGTATACATTTCTATTCATAATTGTTTTGGTGGGTATAATAAGAATATAAGTTATTACTCTCAACTTTAATATAGGCATTAACATTGTATTGTTGAGGAAGCTTACCAGCATGTAAGATTTGGTTGAAACCTAATTGCAATGTGTCTCTTTTAGATAAACAATATGTATAATATAGAAATAATGTACTTCAATGTTATCATATATTCAAAATATTTGCGTGCCATCCTTTATCACTAAAAGGAAATATCAAAGGATAAACATCAAGAGTTAAAATCTTTCTAGAAAGATTTGCCATAGGATATATATAAATTTCATGTCTATGTGGGGGTTTTCCATTGTCATTAACAAGAATAATAGCAACATAATTTTTTTACTGTATATTATAGAATCGATTATCAATTTTTTCATTACTTAATAACATATAAACACCACATAAAGGACAGCCTGTAACTACTACTTTATAAAGTTCTTTTCGTTCCATTTCATACATCATTCTATAAGTCTGTGCATATGGATTAATATGACTGAAGAGTATATCAAGATGTAATAATAAATCTCACTTACAATTTGTATTAAATGGGTTTTGATGCTTTATACTTGTGGCTCCTTGTATATCTGGTATATAATGTTGCCCATAAGATGGATTTTGATCACCAGAAAAGTGTGATGACATAATATTATGGTAAATCTATCCATGAATTCTAAAGTAGTAAAGACTGTTACCCCTTAAAGTGTCAATGTTAGTAGCTATTGATGCAAATGCAAGGGCACTATTGTAGTGTCTAATATTAGTTCTGAAATTAGAGTATTTGTTTTTCTTGTAAAGTGTAAGTAAGTTAGTGCAGTTGGGGTTCTAGTGAATCCAGTGGCTCTTCTTGTAGTTTAAGAAGGAGATGTAAGTTTTAAACAGCACAAAGTATCACTGAAGAAAGGGATTTTGTGGGGAGTGAGCAAGAAGATGATGGTGGCCTTGTAGTACCCCAAGTATGGCAAAGCCCATTAGACTTATCTCTGGAGGAAATAAGTTCTCTGTAGTGTGCTTCAGGTTGGCTGTGAACTGCGAGTTTGGCTCCTGGAGTGTTTGAGAATTCACACGAACTCAAAGCTGGAGACAATGAAGGATTTTATGAAGGTATGAACTTACAGCTGCAGCCAAAGAAGTAGCACTGCTTAGAAAAGAAATTGAATTGTAAAACTTTTCACCTTTTCACTTTTTAAGTTTTCGTTCAAGATTATACAAGAAAATAGATAATCTGTTTAAAACGAAAAGACTCAAGACTATAAATAATTAAAGATTGGAATAGATTCTTAACATGGAGAGATTTCAGATACTTATAATGATTGCAATAGTTCTAACATCTTCTTGGTGTCCCGTGACGCATTACTTACATGAAGAGCATGATCAACAAGACGACTATAACAACAGCTAACTACAACTTCCAGCCAGGAGGCACACAACAAATCCAAGAGTGTAGAGATCCAAACAAACAAAACGCTATCGCTCGGTGGCTCAATGTGGAGTTTCAAGAATGGG